CAAACGTTGATATTAAAATAAATATATAATAAGAAATTCGTTACAATATAAATTATAATTCTAGTGATATCTAAAGTAATATTTCTGTGACAGGCCTTTTAAATCTTTTGTGAGCATTTAATTCCCACATTGACCTGTATCTTGTGTCTCAATAAGTACCTCGTTAAGTGGTAGATGTATCCAAAAACTTGAAGACACTATTAAGTAAGTTGCTATTATAACTGTTTCCCAGTTTACTCTAATAGCTGACAAGCATCAATGGAGCACTGGAATTGTGCTGGACTGTTATTTTTAATTCCTTGGAAATGTATTAATCTGCAAAACCTACTATAACTATTAACAGAACAGTACAAGGAATTTAAAAGTAAAGGAACTGTAACAGCTTGAAAAAGACTTCTAAAATTAAACTTAGTTGGTGGTACGTGCTAAATTGGTTACAATAAAAATGTTTTCCAGGTTGAACTGGTGTATAAAGGTGGTGTTAAAAGCTGTATGAAGAACAAAATTCAAAAAAGTTAAAATTAGATTTTTATACAAAAATTGGTATAAATAATAATGAAATAGTAAAATATTTAGAACTTAATTATGTATAGACCTATAAATATAGCATCATTCTCAGTTTGATACAACAAAATTAAAAAAAATTGATTAGAATTCTTGTGAAAACAATTGTCATAAAAATGATGAAATAATAAAAGATTGTAATTTAAGTACTTATATTCCTACTCCTTTTGCACTTTGATTAGAATTGCACAGCTTGTGGTTATAATGCTGCTTACAATATATTACATACTGTAGAGTGGAATTCATCATTTGAAAACTTACATATTCAAAAAATCGATTTATGGTATTTTGTTTATTCATTTATATTTTTAATTTATTAATCTATGTAATTGCTTCTGTTTAGAATCTTTTATGATTTCTTGCATTGCTGAAACATTAAATATTAAAGCATTATACTCACCTTGGCAAATTTTAAACCTGGTTTTCTCTTGTAATTAAAGGGTTAATAGTGAAAGTACTCAACTGATGAAACAATTCATACTAATCTTTATAAGTGGGAATGTAAAAAATGTATTTGATGAGATATGATTATTACCAAGCTCATTCTTTTAGTTACCTAACTTGCTTTGATCAAAAATTAATATTACATTTGAATATAAATCTTTTTTTTTTTGATAAAGATGACCTGACAACTAGGATTTGCTTTTCTTTAAACTTTTAGAAAATCCTGTTAAGTTCTGTAAAGTGTGTAAAAGTATTCTTGTACAATATTTAAAAATGTGCATAAAATTTTCTCTTTCTCATTCTTTGCAGGGCCAGCCTACACTATCTCGAATTGCTGCTGTGAAAGGCCTCGGTGCTCTTTATTCCAGTGGTGGTGGAGTGTTTCAGGTAGGATATTGATAGCAATAGGGAAATCCTGCTGCTATATGTGTGTGAATGCAAGATAGTGAAAGCATAGTAGTGTATATTTGTGGATTTCTCAGGTTCACTGATTTCTTCTTTTACTAAAGAGATAATTGGGTATGATCATCGAGATAACAGGAGGTTCTACAGAAAATGTTTTGTAGTCAACCACAGTGAGAAAAATCTTTATTTATTTCACAAATTAATCCAAATGAGTGTATTCATGGAGGACAGCAACTTTACTGTAGTGAATCTGTGTAGTACTGTGTGAAGAAGTCTATGTTAATCTCAAAAGAAAATGTGTTTTAGACTGAGAAAACTTATATACACGAAACAACAGTGCTCATGGTGTTTGCTCTTCCTACATCACTGTTGGTCATTTCCATTAAAAAGTAAGGGAGGTTCTTTGCTTACAGTAGCACTTGACCTGCCAGTGGAAAAGAACATTGTCTACTTTAGCCTAATATATTCAACTTTAGAGTAATATTTCCCATAAGAAAGGGCATGTGATAATATAGATGAATGACCCAGAATAACAGGTAAATAGGATGAAAGAAACTTAGCCACTTGCTTTACCAGTGTTTTACACCAAACCTACATACACTTATGGACATAAAAATGTTAAACTTTTTTATGTGAACTTCATAGTTAAATAAAAGGGGTAAAAAAGTGAATGAAAGCTGGTGGAAGCCTAGTGTGAGTGGAAGCTAGAGAAATGTTCTGGAATACGAGTGAATGGAAAATAGTGGAAACCTATTAGTATATGTGGGTGTGAATGGAAGTTAATGGATGTCTAGTGATATATATGTAAATGGAAGTTGATGGAAGCTTCTACTTTTTGTGTAAATTCAAACTATTCTTGTTATATGTCTGAATTGAAACTACTGAATGCTTTTAGAAGCATGTATGAACTTATGAAATGGAAGTTTACTGTTTTATGTGTACAAACTAAAGTTATAGAATGTAGTATTTTTTGGGAAAATAACTATAATATCAGGGTTTTTATTTTCAAGGATAAACCTCATGTTGTAAAAAAAAATTCAACATTAATAAAACAATAAAAAAATTCCAGAATTTCCTTTTAAAACAAATAATTACCTTTATTTTAACTAGAAAGATTGTTGTGATTAAAAAAATAAAAATATAGATCTATTATGTGAACATGACAAACTTTATCTTTTGGAAAACTTACACTTTTATAAAGGGTCTATATAATGGTATCATTTTTGGCTATAAATGATGATCTGTATAAACATGGAGGGCTATGTTGCCAGGAAAGTGGGAGGAGAGCAATTGCCTCTGGCCTGATTTCATGGAGGGCCAGATCTGTTGATCCCAACATGATGCGAAAAAAAAAAAAAAAATGTTCAAGAAGCATCAGATCTCTTTGCAGTGACGTTTTCTTTTAATTTCAGTTTGTTTTATTATTAGACTTTTATTAATTATTATTTTATAATAAATTTAGTTATAAATTTGACCTAGTTTGTTACAAAATACCATTCTGTTAGGATTCTTATTGATTCACATTTTATTGGGAATGTGTGAACATTATATTCATTCTTTGAGACTTAACAGTAACTTGAGATGTAAAAACAAAGTGCAGGAAGTGATGCTGTCATTACAACTTTTATTATAACACTGCTATGTGAACTACTTCATGCTTAATGTTACAATTACATAACTATTTGAGTTAAGTTTTAAATGTAATTGTACTTTTAAATAATCACAGCTAATGAAAATTTATAGATTGTTATAGTACACACATTGCATGTATTATCGGTGGCAGGATTGGGATCTGATTAAGATGCTTGCCTCAGGCTCTGAAGCTTGAAGGCACAATGCTGTGTGTATATATATACTCTCTGTGTTATTAAACTGTAGATACATGTCTTATATGAGTCATATTAACAGGTTGAACTTCATTGTTTAGAAGTTATAGCCATAGTTAACTCGAAATGTGATAATAACATCAACAAATATTTTATACAGGTTAACATTAAAAAAATATATATATTAATGGTTCATACTTTTTGCACAAAATTTTGTGTAGATAACTTAGTCATAGTTTTGTGAAAAAAAAAAAGATGACCAATACTAAGAAGAAATCGAACTAATGCTTGTCATGCTGATCAAATACTCTTAAGACAGTATGTTGTAGCTAATAGCTCAAAATGCTATCTGTGTTTTCCAGGTTGACTCTGGAACTTCAGTTGGGGAGCCTACTGTTGGCTTGACAGAACTTCTGACTACATTAGCACAGTTTCTAAAAACATCCCGTGATATTGGTCTTCTAAACAGTTGTTCATGGATAGTTGGGGAAATATTTAATGTTCAGGCTGGCAAGAGCCAATCGTCATCTTCAGGTATGTGTTATTTGATATGTTTTAGGATACAAATGTTGCATTTTTTAAACTATATAAAACATATTTGAAAAGCCAACATTTGAAGTTATCATCTTACAACTTCTTTGTACTACATTATCGTGAAACTGTTTTTATTAAAAACAATATATTTTTTTTTCATTCTTGATACCACATAATGCATATTGATTTGGTAATAGTCATATATAAAAGCTATATTCATTCAATATTATATTCATTTTTTATACTTTGTTGTTTAAGTGTCATTCTTTATATATTCCTAATTTTAGAACTGTTAAACCTAGATGTGTATTTAGTATGATTACTTCTTTATTGATTTTATAATGATTGGCCTTTAATAGTAGACTGATAAACTTCTTATGTAAGATCAACCAATTTCCAACAAACTTGTTTAAAGTATTTTCAATATCTTAGTTAAGGTTAAAGATATAATTAAAATTTATAATCTTCTCAAAACATCAAATAACAAACAAGATGATGATATTTTGTATTTGAAGCACCATTTGGGTTAGTTTTTTAAGATATACTGAACAATTATGAAGATACTGCAGTCAATGCAAGTTAGTGCCTTTAGAAGTATAAAGTGAAATGTTTAAAAACAACGTAGGGTAAGTAAATCTTGAGGATACATTATTTCTTCTTTTGGATGCATATGCTGTATGGTACCACAAGTAATTATATGGGAGCATTGCCACTTTATCTTCATGCTTTAACTTTATCATGCCATGATGGGTGCATCTAGCTTTAAGGGAAAGAATTAAAATTATTAAAATAATTATGGAAAATAAACTTGTAGTAATTATTTTACACACAAAAAAGAAAAACCTCAGAGTTGAATTCTATTTATGGACTAAAATCCAAAGAAATTGCAAATTTTGATTTTTGGTTGATTTGAGCTCTCAATGAAAAGGTTATTGTTTGTGAATTTTCTGAACTTTTTCTTAGCATAATACCACACTCACCTTTATATCCCCTTAGGAGGAAAGTCAAATTAGTTTTGAGCAAAACAGTGCTAATTTGACCTTATATTTTTAATACATGTGTTTTTTGTTGTTTCTCAACCTTGGTTGTTATGGTGTGATGTAGTGTCTTACATTTCAGCTATGAGAAGTCATAAGCTAGTAAATTCTAACCATGTAAAGAAAGCTGTTTTTCTGTTCTTTTCAACTCTATAAGCCAATATGGCTTCTAGTTCAGTAGAGCTTGAAACAGTGACAAAAGCTTAGCTTGATGATTTGTTGCTAGAAGGAAAGATGTTTGTGAATAAATTGCACCACAACTACAGTCCTGATTTTTGTTTTTAAAGCTTGTTTTATTATGTTATACTTCAGTTGGAGTATCACATGGAGAGAAATGTTTTTTATGAAACAAGATGAGATAGGGTTAATTAACTCATTTTGTACTAAACCATATCAAGTTTTGTTCCACTAACTTGGCTTTGTTTACATTAATCCTTATCTACCTAAGTAACTGCTTGAATTGCCAAACAAAATCTCCAAAATGTACATATAAATTAATATAAAACTGGCTTAAAGCACATTACTTATATTAAATTTAACTTGATTAACAGTGGTGTTTTTCAAGTCAAAACAAAGATAAAATTTACAGTTTAAAGACCACAGACAATAGGGTGTTTTTCATGCACTAAAAATAATATGATTAAAGAAATTCACGTAATACTCAAGCTCATGTGGCTCCAAGCCATATTTGGTCACGGTTGACTAGCTGTAAGAAAAACTTGCAAAAGTGCCTCTGGGCAAACTGGGCGGTCAAACCTACGTCACACAAGGTAAACAAAAATGGTGACAGCAGGTGGAGAGGAAGATGTGTGTAATGTGCTCCATATATGTTTGAACAAAACCTTGTATGTGATAATGTGTCTAATGCTGACATGTTGGCCAGAGCGGATGAGGACTGGCAGTTGTCTGATCTTTTATGGTATGGAATTGTTTCAATAGTTATATGTTACAATATCATAAAAGACTGTTTTATGCTGTTAATGTCAGGAAAATGGGATGAAATTTACAGCCATCAGTGTGGTCAGATGGGTCACAGTGTGGTCATATAGCAAATCTATGAGTAAATTCTAGTCAATATTTGCTTTTAAAGTGATGGATGTATATCTAGATGTAGATCTAATATCAGCTGATGAACTCCCGAAACTGTATACTGCACATACTCTGATTTGTAGGGATAAGAATAAGTATACATTAGAACTGGAAAAGCAAACATAGCTAGGATAACATTTTGATAATTGATACTGTAGATCTTGCATTTTATGTTGCATATTGATATCTCCAATGAAATTTCATTAAAAAGTGTTATACCCATGAAAAAGAAATAAAAAGAACAGCCAATTATTTGTTTATGCCCTTTTTTTTGGTAAATAATAGCTGAAAGTGAAATTTCATAACAACATTTTGTTTTAGCAGATCTACTAGTGTGTTTATAAAACCTAAATGTTTGCTGACAATTCTATATTGAACTTAAAACATTAACTAAAACCTGAGCTTACCCTGCATGCCTCTCATCTTTGAACAGCTGATTGGACATGACTATCATCGCTCTTATTGGTTTGTGAAGAAGAGCACGATGTGCCATTGGCATCAGCCTGGCTGCTGTTTGCTGTGGACCTCCCTCGAACTTCAGATTTACATTGGGCACTGCATCTTTTTTTTAGTGGCAGTTTTTTTTCAAATCCCAAAACAAATGGTAGTTTATTTTCAAAGTCTGATTCCAAAAAGTTTTCACTGCATACATATCAGCTTTCAGCATGCTCCATTTATCACGAGTTCTTGATACAAACTTTGTCCAAGCACTGTGCCATTTTCTGTCTGACTTAGGTGGAAATTCGTGCAGGTAGCTCCTTTTTTATGAGAATGTTCCTACATCCATGAACACCACAGCAAAAAACCATAGCTGTTTACTCACAAATAACTGTATTCACGACATCTGTCAAATGAAATTTGTCCAGAAAAAAAGAAAAAATTGTTTTCACATAAACAAATCGACAGTTTTCCACACAGAGAGGAAGCCGACTGCGACTGGCATTGTTTGCCTTGAGTGACGTCACTCACTTCTGACTCAATTTTTCAACCAAGCGATTGCAAAGGCTGGCTGTTGCACTAACTTTGAGAGCTTGCAGGGCTGAGGAGAGGCAAATTATCGAAAAATGACTTGGTCTTAATTTTTAACCTAAATTTTCCTATGACACTTAAATATATATATATATAATAATGGTTGGAGACGGCTTGAATGGATAATGAAGAAAAACGTTTCGACAAGGTTGTACATTTGCTGTTATGTTAAACTTATATTAAAGTTTTTCTTCATTATCCATTCAAGCCGTCTCAAAGTGGGTTCTTCATCATCGAATATATATACATAAACAAAAATCCTATTGTGTTTTCAATTGTCTGACATCTTTAATAAAATAAAAACTTTTTAAGAAAATTTTTGAAGAATATAGGAAGATATAAAAATCAGTAACCAAGATCCATCTACAACAAAGGAATTTTATGCATTTTTATTTTTTTCTTAAAGAAATGTATCACAATAAAATCTTTTCAAATTTTCAAAGATTCCAACTCATAGAAATATCACACGTAAAAATAACATGTTCAGAAGCTACATAATTCTGCATAAAGTTCACCTGTAGTTTCCAAATTATTTCATCCAGTAGGTTTTTGTTTCCTTCTGCAGTGCAATAAAACTATAACTGGTACATCATTGGCTGTTTGAGTTAAATGTGGTAAAAATGTTATTTGCTTTAAACATTAACACTGTTGTATCTATATTTTATTATTAGTTTTAACTGCTTTGTATATTTTTTGTTCTATTTCAGTGCCATCTGACTATTCCTATCTTCCTGCCAAAAGTGTTCTGCGTCCACTTGTAGGATTGCTTGCAGGATGGCATAAGTCAGGTAATGGAAATCTGTTTAGTACTGATCGGAAGGAAACATTGAAATTAGAAATATGTGATATATATGTGTTATTGTTTGGGTTTAGTAATTGGATTTTGAATGCTACAAACTAATTACATTCCTAAAACTTGTTAGATTTATCTATATTAAAGTTGGAAATATTCATTATTTAGTTTTAACATGATTATGGTAAATTTATCTGCTGATATTGTGTTACTATATATATTTGACTATGGTGAAACTACAGGTAATGTGTCACACTATATTTGATTGGTGAAACTATCTTCTGGTACTGTGTCACACTATATTTGATTGGTGAAACTATCTACTGGTACTGTGTCACACTATATTTGATTGGTGAAACTATCTACTGGTACTGTGTCACACTATATTTGATTGGTGAAACTATCTACTGGTACTGTGTCACACTATATTTGATTGGTGAAACTATCTACTGGTACTGTGTCACACTCTATATTTGATTACGGTGAAACTATCTACTGATATTACAGATTTTTTCTTTTTCTCCAAAGGATAAAATTGAAAATAGAATCTGTGATGTGGAGACCTAATATATTCTTTGATTTGCTGCACCTGTAATGCGAGGCCGTGCTAGTCATTTGAAGTTCAACTTTAAATCCAGTTTCAAATAGATTTATTTTAAATCCAGGTATACAGTCACAAATAGAGTATACAAGTCACTACCTGAAGACAGTTTACAGTTAGAATAAAGAATTGACTCTGAGATCGATATCAAAAATCACATCAAACCTTTAATACAATATATTAAAATATTCGTCTACACTAACATCATCAGAAGTATCTTGGTAAACTTTTACATCAAATGTTTCTTTATGAGCATTCAGTGTTTCAGTAATTATACCTTCTACAATATTCATCAAGTTACATACTATAATCAACAAATTATCAATCAAAATATTATTTAAAATGTGCTCAGACACACTTTACTTTATGAGTTCTTTTTAGTATTTTTCATTTTACATCAATTTCCTAGCTATGCTATTCGATTGAGAGAAATAGGAATTGTTTCTTACACTGAGGTTGAATGGTGGATATTCTGCATCTGCTGGAGGACAGTTGACTGTCTGGAACTTTAGTATCTGGTAATGATGGAGAACAGGCTAATAGCAGTTCTACTGGCTTTGTTGTTAGCTTCAGGGGAACTGAATTTGAGTCCAAAAACATGAGTTTCTTATACAATTTTTGTTAGTATTTTTACGATTTACCAAATAGTGTACACATCAATTCGCAAGTAGATCTGTCACGTAATTGATATAGTTTTGTCAACTTATCGTAATTCTCAGAATTAAGACCAAAACTAATTCGGCAATTGGTTGTGATCAAAGACAGTAAAATGACAGCCAGTTTGTATACATTTCTTTTTGTCTTCCTTCTGATCAAAGTTTCACATGGAGTCTTTGGTTTTCTTTCTAATGCTTTTTATAGAATTCATTTCTTGCCTTTAATGAAGCTAACATAAACTTTCTCATAGCTTTCTCTCTGCCACAGTTGCATCTATTTATGTAGATACGATAAACAGTTGGTTATCCATACCATCGGGAATGCATCTTTGTTTATGCTTGACATATAAGTTTCCTTTCTTGGTTAAGCGTCGTTCTCTATGCATTCACTAAGTGTGCACAACATTTCTTCTTATTGCATATATGTGTGCTACACGTATAATTTTATGAGATTTATATTTTCTTAATTCTTGAAGCATTTGAAATACTGTAAAATGCTGCAAGTGATTCACATCCACTTTTGTGGATTGCAGTTTTTGCCTATTCAAGGTTCATCAGCACAGCTTGGGTCAGCAAACTGTGTTGATGAGCCTTGAATAGGCAAAAACTGTAGTTGATAAAAGAGGGTGTGGCAAATCAAAGAGTACGTTAGGCCTTTGAATCACAAATTCTATTTTCAGTTTTACCTTTGATAAAAACAATATAAATTTGTGAAAAAAATCATTAAAGGATTGGTCTGCTGTATAATATTAATTAATAAATTAGGTGCAATGCCTTAATATAAATAGTCTATATTACTATATGGCAGGTTAAAAAGGACATAGAAACCCCATACATATGATGGACTGATATTGTTTAATATATATTTGACTAAGATGAAACTATTTACTGATATTGTGTCATTCTATATTTTATTTGGCAGGTATAAATATCTGTCAATCACATGTGTTTACGTCTCTACATGCTCTTAATCAAAAGTTTTCTCGCCCTCTTCCGCCCATAAATTGGTCGTCTGTACTAGCTCCATTTCTTCGTATGAAAAATGGTAAGTGTATTTTTGTTTAAAGCAAGTATCATGAATTATATACTATTCCTTACCACATTATCCCACTGTTTTTTCTCTTTTTTTTTGGCCAAATACGTTCATTTGTTAACTGTATCTAAAATTTTGGACCTTATGAGAATTTTTATTAAGAAGTAAAAAGTAAGATTGGATGTGAAAGTGGATGCTTTAAGTAACTAAATTACTTCATCCCAAATGCCACAAACCTCAATTTATTAAGAATGAAATATACCTGACTGCACATTATATAACTGTAACCTCAGAGGTTTTTATATGTTATAAAGAAATATTCAGTTATCAGGAGAGTTTTAAATTTTTCTCCTAAATTCTTAATTTACCTGTAGATTTTTAAGCATGGAACATCTATAATTTGATGAAAAAGTTTCATTAGAAATAGTGAGAAGTCACAGATTACATTGTTAAATGTATAAAAGTGGAAAGTGACAGATTACATTGTTAAATGTATAAAAGTGAGAAGTCACAGATTACATTGTTAAATGTATAAAGTGGGAAGTCACAGATTGCATTGTTAAATGTATAAAAGTGAGAAGTCACAGATTACATTGTTAAATGTATAAAAGTGGGAAGTCACAGATTGCATTGTTAAATGTATAAAGTGGGAAGTCACAGATTGCATTGTTAAATGTATAAA